CCTTTTTATATGGATGTTGGATATCCCATAAGCAATTCAACTACAACATAAAACTGAACTTTTCATTTTCTCCCTCCAAACGGTCTCCTCTTTCTGTTTTTCTTTCTGGGTTAGGTCATTCTATCACCAAACTAGATAACTTGAATAATCTCAACAGCCTATCTCCCTGCAGTCACTTGTATTCATTGGTCATGGCTCTGATATTTCTCTCAATTCAATTTCTTCTTGCCCATCCCAATGTCTTAGTTCATAATTTTGCATTGGTGTCCTCTGATTTGCTCCCCCTTTCATTTATCCTTTTTACTGCTGTCTATAATAGTTTGGTTTTTAACATAGATATGATCATTCTGTTGCTTTTTTAAGGCACAGTGTGGTGTCAGAGAAAGTTATAAAATAAGAGAAGAGGAAGAATGGGAAATTAAAAGTCTTATGGAAGAGAAGCCAATTGAACTGGGCCTTGAATGCCAGATACGATTTTGACAGGGAACCAGAGCACATAATACACAGAGGCCCACAAACATTTTCCAGGAGCAACAAAGAACACAGTTTGCCTGAAATGTAAGTGAAAAAGAGCAGCAGTGGGATATGGTGGAGAGGGTAATCATGAAGGTCATACAGGTTTGAGTAACATAGCTACCCTGTGCATTAGGAATTTTTACTCTGCTATATTTCCCTAAAAGTTAACATTTGGGTTATTTATACCCCAAAGAAGACTAAAGAAAAGAAAGAGTAACATGTTGAAGTTTAAATTTATTTGCCATTGAGATTTTCTTTTTTTTTTTTTTTTTGCAATATACTCCAGAGCTGCTGTTTACAAGGAATGAGGGAACTATCTTAAAAATGCTGAGTGCCACAAATATCTGCAAAACCACTTTTCTGAATTTTTATGAAGCCACTGAGAAATTATTTTTAAGTTGTCAGCTTTTTGTTTTTAAGTAAAAGAAAACCCCCTTTATTTACATAATAGGACATCCTAATCAGCAAAGCTAAGGTTTCACTAATTTTTATATATATGCAAAGCATAATTTTTTAGTCAAATCTCACTGGTGTAGGGTAAAACCTAGATGAATGACTCAAGTAACATAAGGCAGTTCTTTTCTACATCAGATTATTTTTTAAATGCAGTGCCAACACTTATCATTTTATTATTTACTTCATACATGAAAAGCAGCTCTGAATATGAAGTACTGACTAGTCAAAATTCTTAATGACTAAATTGTCTCATTAAAAATCTGATTAATGTCAAAGATTTTGACAGCAGAACTTGAAACAAACATTATACTTTGAAAATTTATAAAAATGTGAGTGCCCATTGACTGAGGAAGGAACATTAATCTATGAGAGTATTTTTTTAAAATCAAGATTCTGTAGATACCAGCTTCACTAACTCAAAATATAAAATAAATAGCAGCTGATACAATAACCCTTTAGTAAGTTAATTCTGGGCAGCCCAGGAAGTTGCCTCTTTATTCCTGCTTTACTTGCATTTGGAGCCTTCCTCTAAAGGTGTCCGAACAGGGTACTGAACTGATTGTGCTTGACACAATTCAGGAAAACTTTGGAGCAATCAGCCCATAATCTAGAAATTATGGATTATTAAATGATCAAAATCATGGCATCATGTGTTTATTTTGGTAATTACAGAAAAACAAAAAATTTGTTCCCAAAGCACCTCAGCCTACCTAACAAGTGGGTGCCTTTTCCGTCCGGTGCTGAAAATGGGTATTTGAGAAACAACTAGACTTCCAGCTAGAAGAATGTTGAAATCATACCCTTCTACAATCAAAATACAGATTCTATCTTCAGGTGAAATCATTTACTATTATCCAACCATATCATTCATACGTTCTTTACTCTGGACTGCTTTGAATTTGTACTCTTGGGGCTACCTCATTATGCAATCATCAAATGGATTGCCCTAAGTTACTGAGCAATTGATTGGAACATACAGAAGACCTGATTCAGGCATATGAATTATATTTTTATGGTACCAAAGCTTATAGGTGAAAACTTTTAAACTCAGGCAATTGACAGGTACCAGTTGCCTAAATATTTAGGAAAACTGTGACCTTGTCGATAAGATACAGAATAGCTTAATTGAAAAGTGAAAAATGCAGTGAGGCAGGTTGCTTAACTTAGTAGTACTATAGAATTTTCAAAGTGGAAGGAACTTAGCAATCACTGATTTCAATGATTTTCAAACAACACTCCCCAGGGTTCTTAGGTCCCTGAAGGTTACTTCAGAAGCCTCTTTCAAAGCTGGGAGTGGGTAGATAACATGGAAGCTAAATGCACAGAACAGACTAAACAGAGACCAAAGAGCAAAAATAAAAGTAACACAGAATGGAGCAAATTTACTTTGGGAAATGTTCATCTCTTTTTTTACATTCTGAAAACAGCAAGGTGCTGATTTTGATATAACACAAGGAGCCTCTTTTGATAAGTTGATGTACTATTACACTGAGGTTCATTCACATAAAACAGTAACAAAAAGGAATTTTATATGAATGGAAACCTCATTACTATTGGCTTCATATTGGCCAAAGCAATGAATTTAAATAGTTACTAAGATTTCCTAGAAAACTTTGTATTTGAAAATGTCTCCTTCATCAGGAAAACAGGCAAAATTAATCAAAATCTAGTTGCTGAGTTTCCCTTCTTGTGTTAGATCAGTGGCTCTCAACTTTCTAATGCCGCGGCCCTTTAATACAGTTCCTCATATTGTGATGACCCCCAACCATAAAATTATTTTTGTTGGTACTTCATAACTGTAATTTTGCTACTGTAAATGAATCGTAATGTAAATATCTGTGTTTTCTGCTGGCGGTTCTTAACCTAACTCAACAGTTAGATCAAATGGTTGTTTTCTTTTCTATGCAGCAAACACATTACCATAAAAACCTCTGGGAAGGGGTTTTCTAAGTCTGTAAGTGTTGAACTGCATAAGCCTTTGATGCCATGATATTTAATTTCTTTTTGTTTTAATAGTCACATGATGTCCAAAGATAACCTTATTCAGTTCATGATAGTTTTCTTTGACTTTTCTCAGAAGAGAAAAATTATATCCTCAATAATACATAGGTTGGGCTTTAAATATTATTGGCCTTATAAACAATAAGAAATGGGAGATATATTTTACAAGAATATGTACAAGTAATAGGAAGTATACTTTATATCAATGTGTAAAATGACAATTTTTTAAAGGACAAAAAAAGAAATACAATTAAAAGCAGAACTGGCATGTTTTCCTAGGAAGTTTTATAGATAATGATCTCAAATCAGATTTTTTTTTCAAAAAGATAAATTAAGTTTATTGCAAAAACAAAACAAAACACCTCATCACCTAAAATCCAACCCATGACTTGAAAATATGCCCTTATGTTTTATAAAGTCTGAAATATAAAAGGAAATTGATGGAATTAAAATAGCAAATTATTTGGCAATCAATGACTGCAGTTGTATATTGCTTTACAGCAGATGTGATTAACTGTTGAGGAAAGTTAGATCAAATTTTCTTCCTGTTTACTATAGCTAATAGGTTTATTCAGAATACATTCTTAAAAAAAGTTTTTACTGATTTTAGAGAGGAAAGGAGAGGGAGATAGAAACATGAGTGATGGGAGGGAATCATTGATCGGCTGCCTCCTGCACACCCCCACTGGGGATCCAGCCCACAACCCCGACATGTGCCCTGACGACGAATCAAACTGCGACTTCCTGGTTCATGGGTCCATGCTCAGCCACTGAGCGACACTGGCCAGGTATAACACAGTCTCACCTTTAGAGCCAATAACCAATATTAATGATAAAAATATAATTTTGTAAACTACTTTTAAAGGGAAAAGTATCAACCAATTAATGAGTCCAAAATATCTTAATGATTTACACTGTGAAAACCAAACATCAGCATGATGGAGCAAAAATTTAATTTTCACAGATGCTTTGGAGTTCTTACAGATGAAGACTGACTTAGAGATTATCCTTTTACCAGATCAGTTTTGATATCAGATAAAGGCAAAAAAAGAAAAAACAGGATATCCAACGAAATGAGACTTTGGATTTAACTTGACATTTTACACTTCTTGATCTCATAATGAGTTTTTAAAAAACTAGTACTTGAAAAATATAGTAACATTATTATGTCAAAATTTGTTTTGTGAGCTAGTTAACCAGTTAAAGCTAAATAGAAATCAAGAACCATTTCTTCAAATAGGCCTATCTTCCATGATTTTACTGAGTTAGTTCTAAAGTTCATGAAAACAAGGTCTTCTACATTCTCCCCGCTAGATAGACACTCTAAATCATAAGCTTGGTTTTTTATATGAGTTTAAAAAGTAGAAAATGCTATTCTCTTAGATTTCTATGGACACTGAGTTTTGTGGAACTTCAAAATATTTCTTTATCCACAAGTTTGTATGCTGCTCAAAGTCAAAGCTACTGCTATACCTAAACTCATCTTTGCAAAGTGAAGAGGAAAAAAACAAAAACATCTAAATTCTGAGAAGCCACCTAGAGTTCCATATGCAAAATTTTCTTACATTAAAATTAGAAAGAAACTACTGATACACAAAAGTAAAATATAATTGTTTTTAATACTAGTAAAGCAACATTAAAAAAATCACAGTTATCTTTACATTTGTTTTAAAATTCTAGTCATTTCCACCACCTCCCCAGATTTTCAAGTCTTTTCTCTCATTATGGCAGATGCCCAACCAGAGAGGATTCCGTACTAACAACTTAAAAACTCACACCCAGTATGCAATATTCTGAAATCTGGCATTCTGTGGAAAAACTGTGCACATTTTCATCAACAGCCTTCATATCTACTGATCTGGCAGCCATCTGTACATATAAAAAGTCTGTTGGCCCTCACGCTGTAACAACCAAAGAACGGCATGGATGGGGCTGCAAGCACAGTGAGGCCTTGTGGGTGGGCAGGGCCACACAATTTCGTGGGCTGGACTTCTAGGGAGAGAATAATAAAGTAAGTGTTCACTTACCATTATGAGACATCCCCACAGCAAGGCATTTCTGAAAGCGACAATACTGACATTTATTTCTACTTTTTTTGTGGATCCGACAGTTAAGATCACACCTATCATAAATAAGCTTCAATCTGATTGTTCTCCGGAAGAAACCCTGCAAAAAGATAATGGAAAAGAAAAAAAGAAGGAAATTCTAAGTCTTTGTGATACATTGAAACAACAACATATGGCCAAAGGAACACTGGCCTGGGTATTTCACACAGTTCTGCCCCTGGTGACTTTGGGCAACTGAATTTTCTTTCCTATAAAATAAAGAACCAGAGGATTTCCAGGGTATTGTTTTAGCTCTTAGAAGATGACCACATTCAACTAATGTCATTCAATGTATTTGGCTCTACATTTAGACTTCGGCATGCTCTACAAAGTGCTCTGGATTTAATGTAATGCAAATAAAACACCATGTAATCAGTTCAGTCTCTCTGCAAACCATTCCAACAGCATGCCAAGCCCTTATAATTGTGCTAAGCAGTTTGGCAAAGTTACAATCATTTCATCCTAATACATTATCAGGGCCAATAAAAATCCACATGTGAATAATTTTTTGGAATTCTCTATGTTGCATAATTTCCTGCAGAATTGGTTTCATTTATTTATGCAGTTGAAAATGTGTGTGTTCCATAATCATTGTAGCCTGAAAACAAAAAGAGATAATGGAAAATAACATGAGAAATCCTATCTAATAAAAGGGCAATATGCAAATTAACTGTCACTGTCACAAAGATGGTGGTGACCATAGCCAAAAGATGGAGGCAGTGACAGTTAATTTGCATATTAGGGGGGTGGCCACTGAGAGCAGGCAGCATGAGCAGCCTGGCAGGATGCTTGCTTTGTCACTGCAGCAACAGAGCAAGCATTCCACCCTGGCCATGGAGACTTGCCTCATTGCCCTTTTTTTGTTCAGAGTATTCCTATTCATTTCTATTGTGCTCATGTTCGTGAAACTCAGTTTTTAATTCTTCCAAATTTACACATATTAGAAATCCTATCTAATAAAATCCTATCTAATAAAATGCACAAAGATTCATGCGAGAATGGGCTTTCCTTCCCCTGGCTGCTGGTACCGTCTTTGCTCCTTCTGGGAGCCACCTTTTTGCATTCCCATGCTGCCCAGAGGCCCAAAGTGGCTGGGGTGGTGCAGAACGCCCAAGTTGTCGCCATGGCATCGATGCAAGTGCCCCATCCTGCCCCCGGCAGCTCAATGCCTGTGTATGCAAATTAACCTGCCATCTTTGTTGGGTTAATTTGCATACTCACTTCTGATTGGCTGGTGGGCATCATAAAGGTACAGTCAATTTGCATCTTACTCTTTTATTAGGGTAGATATGTTGTTAATCCTCACCTGAGGATATTTTTTCCACTGATTTTTAGAGAGGGTGAAAGGGAGGGGGAGAGACAGATAGAAACACTGATGTGAGAGAGATACATGGATTAATTATCTCCCACATGCACCCCAGCTGGGGCTAAGGATCAAGCCTGCAACTGAGGTATGTGCTCTTGATCAGAGTTGAACCAGAGCCTCTTCAATCTATAGGCTGACACTCTAACCACTGTACAAAACTGTCTAGTGCTGAATAAAAAAGCCCAACCCTGGATTAAATCTGACTCATATAATATAAGCAGTGTTTATTTTATAAGATAAACATTTTATAATATAATGTTTAGAAAATATACAAAATATAAAATATTTAAAATTTTATATTTATAAAAAAATTATAAAAGCTAAACATTTACTTTATAAAGTAAATATGAACAATTTATTCTGAACCCTGGAGTATATAATAAAAACTATTCTAGCCCAGTCGGGGTAGCTTAGTGGTTGACCATCAACCTATGAACTCAGGAGGTCATGGTTTGATTCCCAGTCAGAGAACATGCCTGGGTTGGAGGTTTGATTCCCGGTAGGAGGCATGCAGGAGGCAGCTGATCAATGATTCTTATCATTGATGTTTTTAACTCTCTCTCCCTCTCCCTTCCTCAATGAAATCAATAAAATATATATTTAAAAAAATAAAAACTATTCTATTACTATTTTATTCACTTGTATATTAAAATTAATTATTTTAAAAGACTATATATGAAAATATGAGTTGGTTAACATTTTTTTTTTAATGCTTGGGCATAATATTACTAAATATTTGCACTTTCCAAAATGCCCCTTTCACACAGAAAAAAGGTGACGAGAAATAGTATCTCCTTCCCAAAATAGTTATATTTCTTTATCTGCCCATAGTAATACATGACTCAATTGATGCTGAGTAAGAAAACACAGAGCACTGGTTTAGAAGTCCTAGCTCTGTCATTTACTAATGGATGACCATGGGAAAGTTTCACTAATTCATAATTTCTATATCTGTTAGTGGCCATGTATAAGCTCAACCTTATGGGGCTGTTCTAAGACTCAAATAAAGATGATTTAACTATTTACTTATTAGAGATGTCAAACCTTACATATATAAAATATTACATGGTATAGTGAAAAAACAACACTGGAAAATTCAGGGCCAGTTCATCAGTATCTTGCCTTGATCCCCTGATTAAATAATTAAAAAAAAAATCTGCAAGATATAAGGATTAAATTAGATCAATGCCTTCTAGAACCAATCTGGAGGAAGAAAAGTGAGGCAAAGTAACTCTGCTTTTGTTAATTTTCTTAGGTTTTCAAATACTAAGTTATTTGAGTAGTGGGTTTTAAAAAAAGTTTGACAATTTTATCTCAATTCCTAGTCATGCGTTTGCAAAAGGAAATGAAATAATAGGTACATTTTCAACAAATCCTTTGAAGAAAGAAGAAAATTACTTTTTACCTTGCATCCTTCACAAGCATGAACTCCATAGTGAAACCCGGAAGCTTTATCTCCACAGACACGGCATTCGATTGCCATGAGGGAGTTGGAAGGCTCTTCATGAGGCTTATTGTATAGTTGAGCCTTTTCAGAATAATAAGGTGGGGATGCAGGCTCCACTTTGATTGCATCTGTGTATAGAAGAATGTGAGCAGGTCATTATTACATGAAAAACAATACTAAGAAGGCAACAGGGCAAGTCACTACAGTATACCTTAATGCCGTGTTTTTATTATTTAAGTGTAGAACCACTATGGAACATGAAAAGACATAGGAAAAGTAGGCTTGGTAAGCATGGGCAAGCCACGGCATCTTTGAGCTTCACCTGTATAAATAAAGTGGGAAGGGAATTAAGCCTGTAGTTCTATGACCTCCAACACCCCATATACTAGTATATTAATAGTATTTGAGACAATCAAGGTTATTTTACTATGTAATGTGCTGTACTTGGCATTTTCACAATATTAAATTGTCTATTTTAATTTAAAGGTTGCATTTTAGAAATAGTTTAAAATCACTCTTGCGAAAGACACAAAGAAGGAACATAAAAAATAAGAGACCAGGTTACCATCAGTGTTAAGTCAGAAAAGGTGGTTTATAAAATGATCTTTGATAGAGAGTGAAACAACCTGTGGAAATTAAGCACTACTTTTCCACTGGTTAAGATAAGGTCCATTAAATTTCCATATTAGGCTCTAACTGAAAACCACACATATAATATAACCAAGAATATGATTTATTTTTAAAAGAACCACACTAGAAATACAGGAAGTCCTTACTGTCAAGTAATGGTTACCAATTACATCGTGGTGGCTTTGGAAAACCAGCATATCAGTAAACAAAGAGATAAAAATCAAGGAAATAGCATCATAGAAATATGTTTCATCTTGAAAAGTGCAGTTTTAGTTTTTCTTGTGTCTGATGTTTCGATGTGAGTTGAGTTAATGGTATGAAGATTTATCAATAGACCAACTTGTCAAAATTTAAATTAGTGTTATTTATAAAATAACCTTAATTGTCTCAAATACTATATGTTGTCTGTTAGAGCTTTAGTATTATGGGTGTTGTAGGGTCACAGAACACAAGCTTAATTCTTTTACCAGTTTAGATTTCAGTGTAACTTCTCAAATGGCAGAATTAGAAAAAAATTGGATTATAATTTAGTAATTTGGTGATAATAAGGTAGCAAGCTGTTACTTATTAACTTAAAAATATTCAAAAGAATTCAAAGTTTGGGTGTGGACTCTTAACCTGATATATACTTGGCAATATAATCATACTGGATAATGTTCTTAAGAAGAACCAAGAAAAGATAAAAGAAGAGAGAAAGAAGGGACAAAAGGAAAGAATGTTCTGGGGGATTAACATACTGCTTTCCTTTCTGGTATATCATAAATACCTAATATTTCATAGATATGAGGATGAATAAATTAATGGTAAATGTCTTCTCTATAGAATTTTAGTCTCTGGAGCACTTACTCCAGTGTTATTGAGTCCAACACTAGGCTTAGTAATCTGAAAAGTGAAAATAAACATCTTACTTTGGTAATCTTGGAGCTTCAGGTCATACTTATAATCAGCAACCATTGGGTCAGCTCTTGCAAATGGAATGTCTTCATAGTGTGGAGTGGAAATGCTGGAGAAATCAACCGTGGTGAAGGGCTTGATGTCAAAGGCGTGGGAGTGGTCATCCATTACGGAAAGATCCACAGAGCTGATTCCAAAGTTGGTGGGCCAAAATGGCATCTCTGTGTCAACCATGGTAATTTCTGAAATGGAAAAAAGCACAGCTATGAAGCTGGTCCTGGAGAACAGCAATCCTCTGAAGATATATAGAAAGGGAACTGAAAGACTGTTTGGTAACGTGATTTCTTCTGGAGAAGAGAACATAACCACCTTCTTAGTGCTGCCCAATTTGTTTTAGAAAGTGGTCGCTTAGCTGGATATCACAGTAGAGAACCCGGTAATAGTATCTACATGTGTACCCCATGAAAATGTCCTGCAGTCAGCCCTGCCCTCATTATCTTCTATAGAAGGTCATCAATCAAATCTGTTAATTTTTAAAGAGCATAGAGTTCTGGGACAAATTTACTTTCTTGAAATTAGAGATCCTAAATAGTTTTCTCTTTAGGATAAAAATTTTGCTTTTCTATTAATGTTTATAATATTTTTGTGCAGAAAGTTGGTTTATTAAATTTAGATAAGAATTTATTCTTGCCCAGCCTGCATGGCTCAGTGGTTGAGTGTTGACCTATGAAACAGGAGGTTGAGGTTAAATTCCCAGTCAGAGCACATGCTTGGATTGCAGGCTCGACTCCCAGTGTGGGGCATGTAGGAGGCCGCTGATCTATAATTCTCTCTAATCATTGATGTTTCTCGTTCTCTCTCCCTCTCCCTTTCTCTCTGAAATCAATAAAAAAAATATAAAGGATTTATTCTTTAACTTTATTATAACATAATTTTATTCTTAAAGTAATACTAAAATGAATCTTTAAAAAAAAGAGAAGATCCCTTCTGTGCTATGAAAACACTCAAATATTTATGTTTTCTGTGTATACAATTTTCCTTAAAGAGGAGAAAGCATTCCCCATATTGAGAACTAAGAGGTTAGAGATATGAAAACATACTTGAATATCAACGAGGGAATGTTAAAATGAGAATCTGGCCACTTCCAAGACAAGACAAAAATGAAAACAAGGAAACATAAACACACACACACACACACACACACACACACACACACATACGCACACACACACAAAGATAAAAATACTGATATGGATTCTAAGGCCACAGAATAACTTATTTCATGAATTGCCTGCTTAAGATGTCGCGTGCATTTTTCTAAATATGTTTTGTGGTCCCAGTAAGTAAAATAAAACCCTCAGGGATTTTGGTTATAAGTATTTAATGTGGACTTGTGAGATTAAAGTGAGTAAACTTTAAACCTTTATGCAATGGGAACCTGTCTGACTTTGTTTATCTGAAACCAGTTCACTAATAAAGTGGTGCCAAAAAAGCAGTCACAGGTATTTTATTTATTTGTTTATTTATTTGTTTGTTTGTTTGCTTGTTTACTTTTTTTGTTAATCGTCACCTAAGGTGAGGATATCTTTTCATTAATTTTTTTTAGAGAGTAGAAGGGAGGGGAGAAACAGAGAGAAACATTGATGTGTGAGAAAGATTCATCAATTGGTAGCCTCCTACATGCTGCCTTGAGGCCAGAGATCATGAGAATTGTGCCTGAAGGATGTGCCTCCAAACAAAGTACATGCCCTTGACTGGAATTCAACCTGGGACCCTTCAGTCCTTGGGCTGACACTCTATGCACTGAGGCAAGGGCATGATCAATATTTTAAATGTTAACTCCTTGGTCAAAAATACCAGTAGAAAGGTGTGGGAATTAGCAATTGCTGTTAGAGGCAAATAAATGAATTGCTGAAAAATTCTAGGGCACCTGAAATCATATGCTTACCTGTCTTATTTGCAAATATATCCCTGTCTCCTAGCAAAGAGCTGGCTTGGCTCATGGTAGGCGCTCCTTATACATTTATTTATTTATTTATTTTAAATATATATATTTTATTGATATTTTACAGAGAGGAAGAGAGAGGGATAGAGAGTTAGAAACATCGATGAGAATCATCGATCAGTTGCCTCTTGCACACCCCCTACTGGGGATGTGCCCGCAACCAAGGTACATGCCCTTGACCGGAATCGAACCCGGGACCTTTCAGTCCTCAGGCCGACGCTCTATCCACTGAGCCAAACTGGTCCCGGCTCCTTATACATTTATTTATTAAATACTAAACGAATGGATGGAAGTTTAGCATAAAAGATAGGAAAGGGGGAAAGCAAACTAATATTTGAGTACCTCGTAAAAGACACATTCTACCTTTTACTTCATGAACCCAAGATATTATCCTCACTTTAGAGATAGGTAGGCTAGGACTACAGAAGCACAGTGACTTATCCAGTGTCCAACAGCTAGTAAGTAGAGAATTCAAACTCGAGACTGATCCAGAAACCCCGTTCTGTATATGTTCTCTCACTGATGAACATAGTTTATGCAGGAAGGGCTGTTCTCCTAAGGGTATCTGGGAATGGGTGTCTAGTATTTTCCCAGCAAGCAGGGAGCTAAGGAATTCACTCTCAAAGGCTGATTTTTGCAGGAGGTTAAAGATTCCAGTTGTGGTCTTCGTAAGAAAAACAAAGTGCCTTGAAAACACAAACGGGGAGCCTCGTCCTATGAATGTGCTTCAGTGGTTCCATGAGGACTCGTTAGGCACAGTTTGGATTCACATGTCTGAATATCTACATAAATAAGCACCCAAACAACCTTAAGTTATCTGTGTTATAGTGTAAACACTACCCAACAAAAAAAAGAGGAATGTGCACTGGTGATAGCTTGAAGGTCATAGTGGGCCTCAATGACATCTAGTAAAAAGTTTATGCTCTCAATGACAGGGGCACCCATCACACTGAATTCTTTTGTCTCAAAATATATTAGTCCTGCTTAGCGTGCCTCAGTAAGTTGAGTGTTGTCCCATGCACAGAAAGATTGCTGGTTCGATTCCTGGTCAGGGCACATACCCAGGTTGCAGGTTTGATCCTCGGTCAGGTTGTATATACGGGAGGCAACTGAACCATGTTTCCTCTTTCACTTCAATGTATCTCTCTCTCTCTCTCTATCTCTCTATCTCTCTCTCAAAAAAAAAAAAAAAAAAAAAAAAGTCCGGCTGGTGTTGCTCAGTAGTTTAGCATTTACCTATGACTCAGGAGATTAGGGTTCGATTCCTGGTCAGGGCACATGCCTGGCTTTCGGGCTTGATCCCCAATGTGGGACATGCAGGAGGCAGCCAATCAATGATTCTTTCTCATCACTGATGTTCCTATCTCTCTTTCACTCTTCCTCTCTCTGAAATAAATAAAATACATCTAAACTTACCTAACCCAAGTCATTCCATTTACTCTGCCCATCTCCTCACCAGGTTTATTTCACATTTTTCTTAGTATAAATTATTTTCCTATCAAAATATACCTCTCTCGTTTCAATTGCACTATGCATAAAAGTTGGTTTATCAACTACTTCTCATTAAAATAAAGGTTCACTGAGTGAGTTAAAGGTACTGTATATGCCTCTGTACGAACACTGGGAAATGAAAATAAGGATGCAAAAATATGTGCTGCAAGAAAAATTGGTTGCTCATCATTTTACTGGTTTAGTCTAGTTTCATTTTTTTTTAAAATCCTCACCGGAGGATATGTTTATTGACTTGAGAGAGAGAGGGAAGGAGAGAGAGAGAGAGAGAGAGAGAGAGAGAGAGAGAGAGAGAGAGAGAGAGAGACAGACATTGATGTGAAAGAGAAACATCAATCCATTGCCTCCCATACGCACCATAGCCTAGGGTGTGCCCTGGCAGGAAATTCAGTGTGGTGGGTGCCCCTGTCATTGAGAGCATAAACATTTTTGGTGCACAGGACAACGCTCCAACCAGCTGAGCTACCGAGCCAGGGCTTTTTCGCTTTTGATGTGGCTTCGGTGACTCCCTGTCACCCAAAGCCATGCTTCTCAATACAGGAATCATATCCTTATGGGTCATGCATCTTAATGAAAGGTTATGGGAAAATTTTAATCTTAAAGTACCCATTTATGCATACATGAATAGAATTCATGTTATTTTAAAAATATAATATGAAACTCCTAAAAAATTGTACTTGTATATTTCATGAACACGTGATTTAAAAATATATATTTTTATTGATTTCAGAGAGGAAGGGAGAGGGAGAGACAGCAACATCAATGATGAGAAAGAATCATTGATTGGCTGCCTCCTGCATGTCCCCACCCCCACACCCCACTGGGGATCAAGCCCCTACCCGGACATATGCCTTTGACTGGAATCAAACCCAGGACCTTTCAGTTCGCAGACTGACACTCTATTCACTGAGCCAAACTAGCCAGGGCTTTAAAAATAACAGACTTGCTGGAACTGGTTTGGCTCAGCGGTAGAGCATCGGTCTGTGGACTGAAAGGTCCCAGGTTCAATTCCGGTCAAGGGCATGTACATTGGTTGGGGGCACATCCCCGATATGGGGTGTGCAGGAGGCAGCTATGTTTCTCTTTCATCGACGTTTCTAGCTCTCTATCCCTCTCCTTTCCTCTCTGTGGAATATCAATAAAATATATATATTAAAAAAACAGACTTTTCCTGGCTGGTATTGCTCAGTTGGTAGGAGGGTTGTCCCCATACACGGAACGGTCATTGGTCCGATTCCCAGTCAGGGCACATAACTAGGTTGCTGGTTTGATCCTTAGCCTCAGTTGGGGCACATGCCAGAGGTTTGGGTGTCTCTCTCTCTCTCTCTCTCTCCTTCCTCTCCTCTTTCCCTCTCTAAAAATCAATGAAAATGTCCTCAGGTGAGAATTTAAAATAAAAAAAGACTTTGTTTTTTGAGTGATTTTAGGTTTACATAAAAAATGAACAGAAAGTACAGAGTTCCCATATACCCTTTCCCCTTTCTCCCTTCCCTTCACCCCTGAAACTCACAATTTCCCCTATTATTAACTTGGATTTCCCCTATTATTAACACTTGCATTAGTGTGATACACTTGTTACAAATTGATGAACCAATATTGATACATTATTATTAGCTAAGGTCCATAGTTTGTATTGGGGTTTACTTTCTGTGTTGCACATTCTATGGGTTTTGACCAAAGCATGTCATGTACCCACCATTACAGTATCATACAGAATAGTTTCATTGT